TAATTTTAGCCCATACTGTAACAAGCTAATTTTGAGACCAACGATGCACGCCAGATCACGTCAGAGACTGCTCTTTGCAGCCAGCATTTATTGGAGATGGTGGTTGGAACGCGCTCCCCCTGGGCGCGCCATTATTTAAATCTGTTACATCCTTTCTCTTTTATAATTGACATTATTGTAATTCGAACAATTATTGTCCTTTTATCGATTGATCTGATTTCTTATTCGTTCAGATCTTCGCAGTACTGGTCGTTGAGCTGGTTGTATCCTTTCGGCTGTCGTCCTCTGCGGTGGTGGTATGGTGACGTGATCTGTTCGAACATGGACTTGTGTTCGTCTGGCTGTGGAGCCGCTCGCACTCTCTTGGACGATGTATGATCTCGGCACCGAAAGGACTTCCACTACCCGCCCTGGGTACCATTGTTTGTCCTTCTGGCTCAAGATCCTCACTCCATCGTTTACTTTGAAGGACGGTCTCGCGCGCGCTGTCCGATCATGATAGAACTTTTGTTTGTCCCTTTCTTTCTTTAGCTCTTCCTGAACTATCTTAGGGTCTTTTACTTGTGGATCTAGCAAGCTTTCATGACAGGGAAGCGTTGTACGCGGTTGTCGTGACATGAGTCGTTGAGCAGGAGAGCCCAATGCCTCGGTCCGGGGAGTCGCTCTGATTTCCAGCAGTGTGTTGTAGAACTGAGGCGTCCCGAACTTGACTTTCATCAGAATCTTCTTCACTTCCTGGACTCCTCTCTCGGCCATCCCATTGGATTTCGCGTACATCGGGCTGCTTGTCGTGTGCTTGATGTCATACTCCTTGAATAGCGCCTTGACTTCGTGGCTTGCGTAATTTGTGCCGTTGTCGGATCGAAACTCTCTCGGATAACCATGTCTTTGGAATACTTCCCAAAGCGCCTTGATTGTCTGTTTCGCACTCAGGTCGCTCAACTGGGTTACCTCGAGAAAGAAACTGTAATGATCCACGATCACCTGGTAGTATTTTCCCTCATGGAAGAGCACATCGGCGCTCACTATCTCCCATGGACGCCGCGGTATCTCACCCTGAATAAGGGGTTCCTTTTGCACTTGTCTATGATGTTGTTGGCATAGATGACACGTTTTGACTTTCCTTTCTATGTCGGCGTTGATTGCTGGCCAGTAAACTGCAGGACGAGCTTTCAATTTCATTTTCTCTATTCCACTGTGACCAGAATGCAATTGTGACAACACCTCTGCTCGCTTGGACTGAGGTACTACGATCCTGTTCGATCGCAGCACCAGACCGTCCTGGCAATGGATCTCTTCTCTGTATGGCCAGTATTGCTGAGCCGGGATCGGTACTAGCTTTTTATCCGATGGCCACCCTCGTTCATATAGATTTTTTAGGGCTGTCAGCGACGCGTCTGCTCGCGTGGCCTCCTCGTAATCCCGATGTCTTTCTTGAGAGATTGCTAGGCTTGCCACCCATTTGACGTGAATATTCGGTTCGACTTGCTCTTTCGGATGGAGTCTTGATAGAAAGTCTGCGACTGGAATTTCTTTCCCGGGCCTGTATGTTACTTTGAGTCCATACCTCTGGAGATTTAACCAGTGCCCCTGTAAGTTGCATGGGACGTTATCGAATGCTTTTTTGAATATGTTCTCAAGGGGTTTATGATCCGTTTCCACGGTTATATCTGGATGACCTCCAAGGTAGTAGCGATACTTTGCACAGCCGTTGACAATGGCGATCATTTCTTTCTCAATTTGCGGTATCTTTTTCTGCGCTTGAGTCAGGGCTTTACTGGAATACGCAACCGGCTTCCCTTCCTGGAAGAGGCATGCACCTACCGCGTACTCCGACGAGTCCACCGATAAAACCACCGGCAGACCCGGATCGAAGTATCGCAGCACTGGTGCTGACACCAAACACCTCTTCAGGCCCTCGAACGCTTCTTGGTGTTGCTGAGTCCATTCAAAGACCACATCATCCTTCACAAGTTGTCTCAGCATTCGCGTTTTTTCCGAGAGACCTTCTACGAATTGGCCGACAAAGTTGACCATTCCCAAGAATCTCTGTATCTCTTTTTTGCTTTGTGGCGCCTCAACTTCCTCTATGATTCGTATGCGTTCAGGATCAATGTGGAAACCTTGCCTAGTTAGGATGTGTCCCAAATACTTCACTGAAGTTTGGGAGAAGTGGCATTTCCCGGGATTTAACACCATGCCAACTCGACTGCATCTTTCGAGAACTTGCTTCACTCGCTCGTCGTGTTCTTCCTTCGTGTTGCCCCACACGATCAGGTCATCAATGTAGGGCACCACCCCAGGCATGTCTCCGAAAAGGTCATCCGTTGCTCTCTGAAACTCATCAGTAGCCGTCAAGATTCCAAATGGGAGTTTCATAAACCTGAATCGTCCCCAGGGCGTTGTGAAGGTGCATAAGTAGGATGAAGCAGTGTCCAGCTTCAGTTGCCAGAATGATTCATTTGCGTCAAGAGTCGTGAAGTATGCAGCTTTGTTGAGTTTGCATTGTATTTGCTCGAATCGTTTTATGGGGTGAGGTCCCCTCCTCAGTGCCCTGTTGAGATGTTGTGGATCGAGGCAAAGCCTGATCTTTCCGTTCGCCTTAGGAACCACGACGATGTTACTCACAAATAGTGTCGGTACGCTGACCTTAGCGATGACACCCTTTTGCAACATTCGACGTAGCTCCTGTTTGACAGAGTCTTCGTACGCAACCGGGATTCTTCGACACGGACTGATGTGTCCCTCACAGTTTTCTTTGAGTCGCAGTTGCACTTCTACTCCCTTGATCTCTCCAACGCCTTGAAAAACCTTTGGAAACCTTTTTATCCACTGGTCGCTCCCCGGATTCTCACTCATTCCTCGAATTCTCTTTATCAAACCGATCGTCTCAGCCGCATCACCACTGATCGTTGGCGCAAGTCCTTCCTTGACTACGTAGAACCTCTCGTAGCACTTTCGTTTCCGGTACGCCAATGGCATTGTGATTGTCTCTCCCGTCGCATGCTCGTCTCCGAAATATGAGATCAATTTCGTTGTTGTTTTCATTCGTTTGACGTTGTGGTTGCTTTGTATGAGCTGCTCTACCAGACAATTTGGCAGAACGCTACACTCAGCTCCTGTGTCAATCACTACCATCACCTTCTCATTTCCGATTTTGACGATTTCTTTCCACTTCGATGTGCTTGCCTTAATTTGGCGCACCGCACACTTCTCGTCCACCATTTTCATTACCGCGTTGATAGCGAACATCTCGGAGCCTTGCTCATCGTATCCATCCTCTACGTCACTGTCTTTACCATCTTCTTGTATCATGAATACCTTCTTTCTTCGATCTTGAGTTCTGAGGTAACATTCTTTTTTGAAATGACCTGGTTTGCCACAAAGGAAACACAGTCTTTCACTTCGGTGGGTTGACGTTTGTTTTTGTCCATAGGCGCGGCCATGTTTGTTATTCCAGCCACCATTCATGCCGGTTGGTCTACGCTGCGGCTGGAAACCAGCAACTGTGCTCTGCTCACTTTCGGCTTTAGAGATCACTGTTTGGCTCCTTTTGCTGCTTTCATGTGACTGACATTTCTCAATGATTCTGTTTAGAGATGCGTCCTTCAATAGCAACTCTCGTTGTAGCTCCTTGTCTTTTAGACCGATGATTAGTTGACTCCGTATCAATCTGTCAATTATTGACACTCCATCCGATACGTCCATGAATCTGCATGCTGTTGCCGCTTGGCGCACACGTCCGAGATACATGTCAAACGATTCACCCTCACGCTGTATGAGACTCCCCCCCCAGAATTTGAAATCCAGGAGCGTTTTCGTCGATTTCTTGGTGCACCTTTTGTCGATTTCCTCCTTGATGTCATTGGCCGACATCGCTGAAACGTCCACACCGAGTCCCTTCAACCACCTTCTTGCTGGTACACCCAAACATGACAGAAATGTTGCCTTGAAGATGGCTTCCCCTTGTTCCTGAAGCCGTGTCACCGTTGTATAGATCTGGAAGTCACTTTTGAAGTCTTTCCAGTTTTCATTTACGTCGGCTGAGTCTACGTCAAGTTGCGGTGGGGGCGTCACGTTCACAATTGTCGTCGATGGCACCAACTGTACCGGATTTGGCAGAATGCCTTGCATTGGGTTTTGCATCATGACTTGTGCTTGTGCCGACGCCTGAGCTTGAGTCTCCGCATGAGTCTGCGCCTGAGCTTGAGCCTGGGTCTGCATCGGGGTTGCCATCGTCGTCACGTTCAGTCGAGCTGGCGTCAAAATTCTTCGATTGGATCCACTTCTTGACACCATGTAACAAGCTAATTTTGAGACCAACGATGCACGCCAGATCACGTCAGAGACTGCTCTTTGCAGCCAGCATTTATTGGAGATGGTGGTTGGAACGCGCTCCCCCTGGGCGCGCCATTATTTAAATCTGTTACACATACAATAATCATTCCCCCGAATTCTTGTGCCCAAATTCCAATTAGAATAATCAAAGCTGACGCCAACAATAACCAAGGTACATATTGCATCTCGGCCAGCGAATCTCTAAAGAGAAGCCCACAGCCCCACAGCTCAGCCTAGCTAATTGTGTGGTGAACGTAGATAACGGCCAGTCTGGCCTGTGGATCAGTAACGTCTCGGAGAGCAGAGCAACGATTCCGGCCAGCATGACTGTCGGCATCGGCTGCCAGCATCGTCAGCCGCCGCAGGTATTCACACTAACCTCCGCCAGCCGCGCGCAAACTCGGCAACCAGGGACAAGCTCAAGCTCCCTCTCCGCCGGCCGAGGCGAATATCGACACGCAGAGCGATCCCAGACCAACGCACATCAAAATGTCAACAAACAACATCGGCGCACGCAAATCGAACGCGCAGTGAATAGTGATCTGTCAACAGAACAGAAACAGGAAATTCTTAACCTCGTGCTCGAGTTCCCAGGCCTCATCCCCGCGGAGGGACAGGCACCACGCCTAACAAGCAAAGCAGTCCATCGAATACCCACCGGAGACGCAGCGCCCGCGTCCCGCCGCAACAACCGCAGGTATGCCCCCGTCGAGCGGGAAGCCATGGCGGCGGAAGTGAAAAGACTCCTTCAGCAAGGGGTCATCCAAGAATCCAGCAGCCCATGGTGCTCGCCCGTCGTGAAAAAGAAGACGGGTGAATACCGATTCTGCATGGACTATCGTGAACTCAACAAAGTGACCAAGAAAGATGTGTACCCGCTCCCCAGAATCGCCGACGCACTGGACTGTCTATCAGGCGCCCAGTTCTTCTCTTCCCTAGATCTATAACAGGGATAGTACCAGTGCGCGGTGAGCAAGGAGGACATCGAAAAAACAGCGTTCATCACGAACGACGGCCTGTTCGAGTTCAAACGTTTGCCATTCGGACTCACGGGAGCCCCAGCCACATTTGAACGACTGATGGACACGGTGCTCAGAGGAAGGAAGTGGTACTCGTGTTTGGTGTACAGCACAAAATCTCAATGAGTGAAGCAGTGACCGAGGCCAGTGAACTGTGGCCACTCTTGACCCCGGATCAACGTGGAGCTTTCGAGGATGAAGCCACTCATCGTCGCTCCAAACCATGGATGTCCTCTGATGACAATCCAGAGGCTGCGGCAATCATGCGATTCCATCGCCGCATGCACTCCCGCATGGTCGAGCAGCTCGCCGCAGCGTACCGCGGTCTAGGTGAGCATGTCAAGAAACTTGAGCAGGCAGAGGAGAGAATCAGGAATCTTGAGACTCAGCTGAGTGGGTTATCAGAGACCGAAGGCCTCGAGAGTGATTAGGAGTGTATCTCACATATTGAATCAATAAAGCGCCCTCAACCACCACCGTGTGATACTTAGTTTAGCAGAGACGGATCACAAGCGTCTGTATCTATTCTAGAGCGTTCTGCATCGTCTGCGGTCGACTCTCTCTCCTCTGTTGTTGGGAGATACGGATTGTCGATCACCGCTGGCGGTATTCGCTCGTACTGATTCCTACGCAGCCGAAGTACATACTTTCGTACTAATATCAAGGCTGTCAGTGTGATCGACACGACTGTGTGTGCTATCGTGATCAGTTTCCATGTCATGCACTCTTCCGAAACAGATGGTTTCGGAGTAGGTTCTGGTGGAATGTTTCGCTGTTTGTACCAGTACCAGAGGTCTCGTCCTCCGAGAGTTGCCGCACCCTCTGTGATGCAAGGCACCTCATTGCATGCCTCCATCTGGCAAGCTTCATTACCGTGCATGCATTGTACATGGAAAGCACCCATTACCTTTCTTATTGTGCAGGGTAAGTTACTGGAGGAACACTTCTGTCCACAATCTCCATATGAGAAGAACTGATGTGCAGGTTCGGCCATCAGGACGATCAGCAACATCCCTGTTACAACCGGGCCAATTCCCTGCCATTCCATGATGTTAGTCCGGCCAGTGATCGTTGTTTAAGAAATACCATTTTTTTGGTGGGCTTCGTCAGCCAGTCCGCTCTTTGGAGCTCTGTGGGCACGTAGGTCACGTCGATCTCTCCTTTTTCGTAGTTATCTCTGATGAAGAAATACTTAAGCTCGATGTGCTTAGTCCTGCGATAAAACTGGGGATTCTTGATTAGCTTTATGGCGGCCTGATTATCTATCTGAATTGTGAGTTTCTCATGGATATCGAACTCCCGCAGCAGCTTCGTAAGCCATTGTGCTGCCTTCAGAGATTCCGCTGCCGCATAGAACTCGAACTCACACGAGCTTCGAGCAACGTTGCTCTGCTTCATCGTATTCCAGACAATACTACCAGATTGTCTGAGTATGAGGGTACCTGAAGCGGATTTCCGATCGGCACTATCTGAGCCGTGGTCCGCATCGGAGAACACCATGGTCTTTTCTTCTGATTTACTCCTGTATGTTATACCAAGGGATGGACAGGATTTGAGATATCTCAATATCCTTTTGTCTGCTTCTAGATGTGCAGGAGTGCATCTGCCAAGTACCTGGACAGATATGCTTTCGCAAAAGTAATATCGGGACGAGTCCCCGTCGAGAGATAGAGAAGGCTACCTATGAGTTCTCTATAGTTCTCTCGGGTTGATGTTCCGGTGTCCGGTATGCTGTAGATGCCTGCGTCGCAGGGAGTAGGTATTGGTTTGCAGTCAGACATGTTAAATCGCTTAAGGACCTCGTGTACGTATTTCGTTTGATTTACGTGTATGTCATGATCGCTGTTCATTTCGATCTGTATGCCCAAGAAATACGACAGTGGTTGTGAGGTAATCTCCAACTCGGATCGTAGTGAATCGACAAATCTCAGAACCGAGTTCTTCGAGGTCCCACCAACAATTCCATCATCCACATAGATACAAACCACCAGACTATCCGAGCCATTCCTGTGGTAGATACACGGATCTGTCTTACTTTGCTTTAGTCCTTTTTTCTGAAGAATTCGTTTGAGTGTTTGACAGAACTCATACGGAGCCTGCTTGAGCCAATAAATGGCTCGATAGAGTCGCAGGGCTCTATTTGTTCCGTCATTCCTCCCCTCTGGCTGTTTCATGTATATTTCGTCCGTGAGTTCTGCGTTTAAGAATGCCGTCTTGACATCGAACTGATGCAGATACAGCTTCTTTTCCGCTGCAATGCTAAGGACAACTCTGATTCCTTCTAGCCTAGCTACCGGACTGAAAATCTTATCTGCACTGAAGTCTATTCCTTCACGCTGCCGAAATCCTCGCAAGACAAGACGAGCTTTATAGCGATTAGTCCCGTTCTGAGGGTTTCGTTTTATTTTAGATACCCACTCAGAGTCGATTGCCTGTCGACCCGGTGGTAAATCTGTCAGTCCCCAGACCGACAATTTCTCCATGGACTCTAGTTCCTCCTTAATAGATTGCGCCCATTTTTCTCTTTCGGGACTTCTCATAGCTTCTTGGTGAGAACTAGGTTCGCAATTACCAGCTTCTACATTTAATGATTGGGGCCCCTCAT